TCTTGTCTCCTTGTTTATTCATTGTTCTCAAGGAGCTAAGCTGTTTATAGAGAGAAGTTATTTGTTATTTAAATCACTTTTTGCCAAAGTTGAGAATACTCTGTTCGAGTATCTAAAAATATTGCTTTTAGCAAATATGCAATGTCTTTTTGAAATGTCTGTGCAATCCATAGTGATTTGCACACTGGAGTTCATTGTTAAATGGGTCCAGGTGTTGATGAATTTAAACATCTGAGAGTGAGTTAACTCATTAAAGCTCAAAAAAGGACACAAAAAAGAAAGTTATTTTTAAACCTTATAAAAATGTTATTTGATACAATTAGTAACAGAGCAATCTTATATCTACCTTTAAGCAAGTCTCATTGAAGTACCTGTGTGTACATTTAGACAATAAATAACATACATATTATGTTTTGTAACATAATCCTGAATTCTGTTGTTCTAAATTTTATTTAGATTAGTCATGTGCTTCAATTATATACTTTTCCCATTTCTAGATAAATAAGTGGTGTGAGAAAAAGAATAGGAAACAGAGTTCACAAAATTAATCAGGCTTAAGATTTCTTGGTTTTATTGGAAATTTAACAGTGCATTTAATTTTTACTGAAATCAATGAGATAGTAAATCTCTTAATTTTAAAATCATGCTAACAGAATACAGTCACTATTCAGTAAGCATGATGTGTTGCTTGTGACTGGAGACTGAACGCCAAAGTTAGAAATATTAAGGATCAATATGTAGTTGTATTGTATGGCTTAGAAAACAAAACTGAAGCAGGAGGCTAATTTATTAACTTCTTCCACTCTAATGATTTATTCATAGTTAAACATCCTCAAACTGCAAAAAGTGATATCACTACAGGAGTACATAGAAATCAAATTGATGACATTATTGCTAAAATTAGGTGGAGCTTAGTTAAAACATCAAAGATAAGGGCAGCCCTGACTAGAACAAATCATAAACTTCTGCTACCAATAGCCTCTCACCGACCAGTATGCTCCCATAGAGAGGGGCTTCTCAGAGTGACGTTGGCCAAACAGTGTTGACTGGCGGCCCCCAGGGGGAGAGCCTTCTCTGTGGGGGCACCTACCATCTGGAACGAGCTCCCCCCAGAGATACAGAGGATCCCGGATCTGCGCACGTTGTGCTCTCAAAACATTTTTATTTCAGCAGGCTGGCCTGGCCTAACCCTCCCTTTTAAATTTTTTAAATCATTTAATCTGTTTACAAATTGGGTGTTCTAAATTTGTTTTTGGCCAAAATAGTTAATAATTTTAATGGACTTTTAATGTTTGTATTATCTGTATTTTATCTTGGCTGTTCACCGCCCTGAGTCCTCCGGGAGTAGGGCAGTATAGAAATTTGATAAATAAATAAATAAATGAATAAACAAACAAACAAACAAACTGTTCATGTGTAAGTTCCTATTAAGCTAAAGAAAAGTAAGAAAGCCAACCACTTTCTACAATATGATGTTGAGCATTTCCAACATCACAAATCAGATTGAAATCCTGAACTATGGAATGAAGTTAAGGAAGCTAAAAATAAATGTGAAAAGAGACTGTCCAAATATAAGAGACAGAAAAAAGGAAACTGGAAGTGAGTGGGGTGGGGGGAATCGGGAAACTGGAAGGTAGAGGATGAGAAGAACAAGGAAAAGAAGCAAAGGAAGATAAAGATCTCAGCAAGGACCTTAAGGAAGAGTTTCAGAGAGTTGTTTGATGTCCAAAAACCAAAAAATGGCCCAAGGTAGGTTATTTTGTTGTTTTCATACCTGTAGACAAAAACATACCAAACTGAGCACTTTATTACCGTTTCCGTGAAAATAATACATCCCGATAATAAGCCCAATTGCGCTTTTGAGCACATGCACTAAAATAAGCTGCCCCCTGAAAATAAGCCCTCCCCAAAAATATTTATTTATTTATTTATTTATTTATTTATTTATTTATTTATTTATTATATTTCTATACCGCCTTTCTCCCGTAGGACTCAAGGCGGTGTACAGTCAAGAAAAATATAGACACACAAACATCATAAAATTGCTAATAATTTAAACGCATACACAGCCGGTCCCTGCCATTTCCTTTGGTTAGGGTTAGGGAGAGAGCTGGAAATCAGATAAAATGGCAAGAGGAGCCCCATATGCCTTGCTCCATGTGCCCCAAAATAATAAGACCTCCCCCAAAATAAAGCCAAGCGCTTATTTCAGGGTTCAAAAAAATATAAAACAGGCAGGGGTGAGTTCTACTTATCTTTACTACCGGTTTGCAGTGGGGTTGCACGCGCGCACGAGCGAAAGCACACAAGCTTCTGCACATGCACAGAAGCGTTTTGACGGCATCAGGGTCGGTGGGTGGAGCCTCCTGCCAGTTTTACTACCGGTTCTATAGAACCGGTGTGAACTGGGGGCAACCCACCACTGAGAACGAGGTCTTATTTTTGGAGAAACACGGTATCTGCATCTACCATATACTATGTGAACTATTAGAGAGAGTCTGTGACTTCATTTTCTTTCTTTTACACATAACATCTAGACTGAGTTGCCTTTTACTCCACTGGAATGCATCACCTCCCTCCTGGGAATCCACCTCCTTACTACATTCCATCACATCAGAAGACTCAGGAAGCAGTATTGCAACAACATCTGTAAAGATACTGAAGATGGAAACAGTCATGTATAAATAAGAAAAGCGTTCTAAAAGACGTCTGAACTCAAAAGGAGATTCCAAACTGCTAAATGCTGCCAAAGGATAGACAGCGATTCAAAGAAGATGGATTATATTGAAATACTATATAAGAGTGGCAAGCGATATATGGCGAGAAGAGAACTACTCACAATATAAACTTTTTCATTTTAGCTGTTACCTAGTTTGTTCTGAGAAGGTGAAAGCCACACTATTCTGTATTAGCGTTTAGGTTAATTGATTAGGTATTATAAAGGTGTGTTCTGAATGCTACGCACTGTTTATTATATAAAAATATACATTTATATGGTTTCCCATATGTGTGTGTGTGTATGTATATACTGTGTTTCCCCAAAAATAAGACAGGGTCTTATTTTCTTTTGACCCCCAAAATATGGCCTTGGCCTTATTATCGGGGGTCTTATTTTTGAGGTACAGGACCTCAAAACCTCAGCCCCAGGAAGGGGGACTGGTGCCATAGCGCCAACCAGCTGCTCTGCTGGTGCAGCTCAGGCTGCTACCTCTAGCAATCGTGGCAGCTCCCCAATGCCAGGAAACTTTTTTCTTCCACCCTCTCCCCATTCCCGTAAAGTTGGCAGGGCTCGGTTGGGTGGAAGGAGGCCCCAAGGGTCCCGATGCCCGGTATGGAGGTCAAAAGGGAAGCAAGGAGGGCTCACCTGGTGCGGGTCGCGAAGGCCAACATTTGTCTTCTCAGGCTCGCCCGTGTACACAAGCCTGTACGCAAGCAAGCTCCGCGTGATTGGCTTTTCGAGAAAGGATTGTGGGAGATCGGGGGGATGGCGGCTTAGGGAGGGATATTGTCTGCGGACTGAGGCAACATGTGAAAGGAGGGTGAGGGGGCAGGAGAAGCACGGTAGGGCAGCCCGGGGGTCTTCTTGGACCTTCTCTTCCCCCACCCCACTTCCCTAATTGCCAACCAAGGAGCCTGGCTGGACTGGGCTGGGTTGAGCTTGCACAGCTGCTCTCAAAGTGGCCAAGGGGGCCAGGGTGGGAGTCTCCACCCAAGGGTCGCCCGGCCAGCCTTGCCAAAGTTCTCCTGAGCACCCCCCCAGCCAGGGATGGGGTGGGATGGGGGTTGGTTGCAGTTCCTGGAGCCGAAGTGGAGAACAAAAAGACGGCCGGGAAGTGTTTAAAAGAGAGAATCCAAGTTCTCAAGTTACACACTGTTGGGGAGGGGGGGAAGAAAGGGGAGCAGGAAAAGCAGCACTGGCTTGGATTGCAAAAGCCACGGACTGGCTTGATCACCTTCCTCTTGAAGAGCCTGCAGGGTAAACAGGAGATCTGGGGTTTGGGCGAACGGCAGAATTCTTGCTTCTCCGCCGTCCCACATCTCCCCACCTGCTACTCCCCCTTGCCGGCCAAGATTGGCAAGCCAGATTCCAGGAGCTGAACATGCTGCCACCACCCGGGAGGAGAAAAACGTGAGAAATGGGCGCTCTCGCAGCACCTCCTCTCTCTCTTCTTCTCCCAAGTGTCAGTGGTGCGTCTGACTCACCGAATCTGGCCTGATTTCGGGCCTGATTTTTGGTGATTTCACTGAACTAGGGCTGCATAATATCTTGGTTTACGTAGGTAGAACATGGCTAAAGAGAAATACTTTATATATATATATATATATATATATATAGTATATATCAGTGGTGAAATTTAAATTTTTTTACTACCGGTTCTGTGGGTGTAGCTTGGTGGGCGTGGTATGGTGTGGCAGGCATAGCAGGGGAAGGATATTGCAAAATCTCCATTCCCACCCCACTCTGGGGCCAGCCAGAGGTGGTATTTGCGGGTTCTCCGAACTACTCAAAATTTCTGCTACAGGTTCTCCAGAACCTGTCAGAACCTGCTGAATTGCACCCGATATATATATGATATATATACCTTGTTTCCCTGAAAAGATGACATCCCCTGATAATAAGCCCAATTGCGCTTTTGAGCGCATGCGCTAAAATAAGCTGCCCCCTGAAAATAAGCCCTCCCCAAAAATATTTAAATGCATACGCAGCCGGTCTCTGCCATTTCCTCTGGTTAGGGTTAGGGAGACAGAGCTGGAAATCAGTTAAGACGGCAAGAGGAGCCCCGTCTTGCTCCATGTGCCCCAAAATAATAAGACCTCCCCGAAAATAAGGCCAAGCATTTATTTTGGGGTTCTAAAAAATATAAGACAGGGTCTTATTTTCGGGGAAACATGGTATATATGTACTGTATATATATGTGACTCTGGGCAGCTAATAATTAGAATAAAAACAATAAAAATACAACTAATTGCACACACACACATATACACAGAGTCATGCATTTTACCTTAGTGTGGTTATTTAATTATTGTATTTAGTACATATTGCTGATTATCAAACAAATGAAAATATAGGATATCATCAAGAGAATAAAAGAATTGAAATGGAAATGGACTGGTCACAAAGCAAGAAGAACTGATGGCAGGTTGACCAAGCCAGTCATAGAATAGATCCCACTTGATTAAAAAGCATCCACAAAAAAGACCTAAAACAAGATGGATCGACGACATCAGCAAGTATTGCAGGTCCAATTGGCAAAAGAAAGCTCAGGAAACATGCGGAAGAGGCCTTCATCTTGTAGCGGATAGACAATGGCTAAATGATGATAATTGCTGTCCATCTCACATAGTGACTCTGAGTGCCATATAAAACAATCCAAATATATAAAAACCAATTAGAACACAGCCAAAATACATTAAAAAGATTTTAAAAATGACAAGGAAAAAAATCCATACAGAGTGCATTCCAGTTAACCGTCATGTAACAATCTCACTGCTCCACTCTATCATGGGATCCCCAGGCCAGTTGACAAAAGGATGTCTGAAGGGCCTTAAAAATATAGACTTACCGTACATTTCACATATAAGGCTTGTTTTGCACGACATTCATAGGTTTATACACACTAGCTGGTTACTTCAATATGACAAACAGTCATAAATTGGTCCCTGCATGCATAATGTTAAATGCAATCACCATGTACCAGTGTAGAAAGTTAGCACCAACCCCTCTCCTAGAAGAATGAAATATTCTAGGAAATATTAAAAAGGCAGAATATTATATTTCCCTGGATGAGAAATGGAGAAACATGTTGTTTTTTAGGCAGAAAGCAGACTCACTCTTAATAGCCCCCACCCTCCTCAATAGCCCACAGCAAATGTCAGCACTAAAGAGATAAAGAGATGGCTAGGTCTATACATAAGCAAATACCCTCACCCAAGATCCAACAAAGGTAGAATTAGCCCTCAGCCATAATAGGAGTTGCCCCAAACCCTCTTCATTACATCATCACCCAGCAAGATTCAACCAAGCCTAGCACTCAAGACAACCTACAGTTACCCGATTGGCCCCATGGGAGTCTGATAACCAAACAGGATACCTGCCCTTCAGTGGTGGGTTCCTCCCGGTTCGGCCCGGTTTGACCGAGCCGGTAGCGGTGATGATATGATGTCACCGAACCGGTTATGGACTCCCCCCCCCGTTATTCTTACCTTTTATTTGGCCCCACCCCCAATCTATTGCTGCTTCCTGAGTTTCAGCTGATGGCTAGAGGGAAAAAACCTGTTTAAACTCTTGCTGTGGGGCTTCAAAGGGCCGCCCTACAGCTGATCAGTGTTAAAAGAAAACAAATGAGTAGACTGGTGTCTGCAAAAATAAATGGGTAGACCAGTACAGCTCTGCAAGCACAAAATAAGCTATGCCCACAGAACCCTGCTGCCCTTACACAAAAACAGGAAGCCTAAGGCAGGGCCCAAGAGAGGATATAAATCTCTCTCTCTTACCCATGTGCTCATTTTGCCTAGGACCCAAAAACCCCATGTGGTCCTGCCCACCATTAAACCATCTTTCCAAACAGCTTCCATGTTTCCAGTGTCTTTCCTCCCAGTTGGAACCGAACCCAGATGGCCATTTCTTCCAATACCAGTCTTACTGACAAGACTTAAAGAGTCTGAAGAAACATGCAGGATATGTTTAGATATTCAAGTTCCACAAGAGAAATATTGTTTTTTTCCCCCCTATCAGAGTAAATCGCATATAAAATATTGGAATTACTCATTAGTACCATAGTACATCTGCAGGTAATATTCAATGCATGCCAAGTTATACGCGTGTTAAGAATTGTAATCCCTCCAAACCCTATGCTCTCTTACGGACTCAGACGGATATATGATCATAAATCATATGAATGCACTGAATTCAAACAACGCCGTTCTTGTTCGTACCAAACCTACACAAGACAGCCGGCAAAAAAATCACAGAATCGAGCCGGCCGGGTTGAAGGCAAGGAGCAAATACACCACTTCCCAGCATGCCTTTTGCATCCGGCTGCCTGCAGTCTCTTTGAGCCGGAGTCACGTGCTGCCTCCTGGAGCTCGTAGTCCGTGCAAAGGACGAGCCCCTGGTTTAAAGTGAAGGTGAATGGAATCAGGCTGGCTGAGAAAGGAGGCTGTGGCGGAGCGGCTGCATCTGCTGCCAATAAAGTTATCTTCCAAAAGGGGAGGGGAGGGGGGAGGAGGAAAGGAAGCACGTCAAGATGGCGGCTCCCGTGTCGCCCTTGGTTACTGGGCGCCGCCTGATAAACGCTGCCATTCGACCCGCCGCTCTCGTCCTAACTTGCTGGGCCCCGCGGAAAGGTTAGTGGCGTTTGGGTCACCAGGTCTAGGACGTACGAAGTTAGCCCGCCATCTGTAAGGAGGATTAAGGCTCAGCTGGAAGGTCAGCTGTCAAACCAGTTTCAAGCCCTGGTCGTGACTGGTCAAGATCCCCAGTTATTAAAGGGGAGCTAACGCGGCTCGGCTTTCTTTCCTGCACTTGAATCGCCCGGCATCCGCCTTTCGGGAAGAGTCACGCCGTGTTCCGAAGAGGTTTTAAGGTTCTGAAATGTCCGCCAATGCTGAAAAGTTAAGGATAAAAGCCGGCCGTTCTGCTAGCTCTCTCCCGTTTAAAAACACTACGGCCTAAAGCAGGGGAAGTTCTGCCGCTTTGAAGACTTGTTGGACTTCAACTCTCAGAATTCCCCAGCCAGCTTGGCAATTGTGCCGGCTTGGGAATTCTGGGAGTTGAAATCCACAAGTCTCCAAAGTTGGAGACCTCTGGCCTAAGGATTTTATGCTCCTTTAGGGATGGTCTTCAATTTTATTCCTCATTTTGCAATGGAGAGCTGATTTAAATGGGTACACGCGCTTAACATTTATTAGTGTGCACTGATTATTCTCTGAGAAGTGTCTCTATATACAGCTTGCCAATAGGATGTTGTATAACTCTGCACAAATCCTTTTGCCCCCACAAAATCCTTTTGCCCCCTACTTCAGGATGGTCTTTCCAAGCCCTTCCAGATGCTGCCTGTACAAATTTAGTTATGTTAACATCAGTGAATTAAAGTTTAACACATAAACCAATGGGGATCAAGCAAACTGTATTATGTTTTAATGTGTTGTATAGTGTTGGTTTTGTGATCAAGTAGATTAAAAAATACTTCTGGGTATGGACTGAGCATCGATGTCAGAGCATGCAGATCTCTTTGTGGATTTTTTTTAAAAAATAGTCATTACCTTTATAGTAGTGGAGCTCTTGTCTTAATGGCAAAAGAGAAGGTTGTTCAACATCAGGAACTGCTCGCTTATCTCCAATAAGGCTGAGTAAGAGACTGTGTATTCTGTACGGCCCAGAATTGATTGAGATGCAGAAAAAAAAACACCCTCTCCACTTAAGACTCATCAGTAAATCCTTTTACTGGCAAATGGGAAGCTCCCAATGCCAAAAAGTGTTACACTGATGGATTCTGCAGCCTGTACTTTAGTATCATAAAAATGATGTACAGGAAAATACTCTTATCAATTAACATTTTTTCCACAAAATATTGATGTACTTTGCAGCTATTTTGGTGAACTGTCCAGGTTAACAGTTGTCAGACTATATGCACAAGTAATAAATACATATATTCAAGCATGTTTTCTTGCACAGGATGCATGCTAAAAACGTCTGGGAAGTTATAAATTTGCAAGCATAGCAATAAGTACTACGTGCTATAATTCAGTTATAATGCACATATTGTTGTTATGGAGTGAAAACAGCACTTTTGATATCTGCATGCATGTTTTTGTCTTGTAGTTAACACTGGTCTTGCTAGTAGATACTGCTGTAGGAAACTGATGCACTTTAACTGACTTGGATGTGTGGTTTTCTATTGGTTAATTTACAAGAATATTTACAAATTGCCATAAGTATACCCTGTTTCCCCCAAAATAAGACATGTCCGGATAATAATCCCAATAGGGCTTTTCAACACATGCAATAATATAAGCCACCCCTGCAAAATAAGCCCCCCACCAACTACTTACACGCATGCGCAGCCGGTCCCACCATTTCCTCTGGTTGCTTGCTGCGCAACCAAAATGAGTTGAGGCGGGGGGAAGTGGGGGGACATGCTCTCCCCTCCCTGTTCTTCGCGCTGGCTGAGCGGTTCAACACGTCCCACCCTACCTCAATGGCAACAGCAGCCTGGATGCTTCCCTTCCCCACTATATCTTTATCAGAACGGGTGGCAGGTGGGGTGGGGTAGAAGACGCGTGGACCGAGACATGGCTCCTCTTGCCGTCTCTTCTTTCCCCCCCCCTCGCCAGGCATGGCAGGGCTCCTGCCCCTTGCTTAGCGACCCGCCCCCTTTAGGGATGCAATTTGGAGATTGCAGGTAGAGCGGGCAAGAAGCGGGACACAGGTCTTACCTTTCAGGCTCCATCACTTTCCTTGCTGTTGTGTCCAGGGAAACACACTGTAAAAGAAAACCTTCTCATGAGTTCGAGAAGTTTGATTGAACTTTACAGCCCTGTCATGCCCAGCGAGGGGGGGGAGCAGAGACAGCAAGGGGAGCCACGTCTCGCTCCATGCGTCTCGCTTCTCTCCAATCCCACCTGCCACCCCTCTCAATAAAGAGACAGTGGGGAAGGGAAGCAGCTGTTGCCATTGGGGTGGGATGGGACATTTTGGGCCCCTTGGCCGGCGCAAAGAATAGAGGGGAGGCGACAGCAGTGACGGGAATCCAGTCCCACGCTCGTTGCCTCCTGCACCCCCAAAATAATAAGACCCCCCGATAATAAGGCCAAACCCTTATTGGGGGGGGTGTCGAAAGAAAATAAGACCCTGTCTTATTTTCAGGGAAACACGGTATTAACTTTTCACATAGGGAAACCTTTTAGATAACAGACCACCCCAACGATGCCCTTGAAGTGATGTCCCGGTGCCTGGAGGCCGTGCGGATCTGGATGGGGAGAAACAGACTCAGGCTCAACCCATCCAAGACCGAGTGGCTGTGGTTTCCGACATCCCGATATAGTCAGTTGGTGCCATCACTGACTATTGGGGGCGAGTCACTGGCCCCCACGGAGAGGGTTCGCAACTTGGGTGTCCTCCTGGACTCACGGCTGTCTTTAGAAGAGCACATGACGGCCGTGGCCAGGGGGACTTTTTATCAGGTTCGCCTGATTCGCCAGTTGCGTCCCTTTCTGGATCGGGACTCGTTAAATACGGTCACTCATGCTCTCGTTACTTCCCGCTTGGACTACTGCAATGCTCTCTACATGGGGCTCCCCTTGAGGAGCACCCGGAGGCTCCAGCTGGTCCAGAATGCGGCCGCGCGGGTGGTTATGGGAGTGACGTGGCGCTCCCATGTGACCCCCCTCCTGCGCGAGCTGCACTGGCTCCCGGTGGTCTTCCGGGTGCGCTTCAAGGTTTTGGTTACCACCTTTAGAGCGCTCCATGGCATCGGACCGGGGTATCTACAAGACCGCCTTCTGCTACCAATAGCCTCTCACCGACCAGTACGCTCCCATAGAGAGGGGCTCCTCAGGGTGCCGTCGGCCAAACAGTGTCGACTGGCGATCCCCAGGGGGAGAGCCTTCTCTGTGGGGGCACCTACCATCTGGAACGAGCTCCCCCCAGAGATACGGAAGATCCCGGACCTGCGCACGTTTCGCCGTGCTCTCAAAACTTTTCTATTTCAGCAAGCTGGCCTGGCCTAACTCCCATTTTTTAAATTTTTTAAATTTTTTAATTTGTGATTTTATAAATTGGGTGTTTTAATCTGTGTTTCGGCCGAAATATTTAATAATTTTAAGGGATTTTTTAATATTTGTATTATCTGTATTTTATCTTGGCTGTTCACCGCCCTGAGTCCTTCGGGAGTAGGGCGGTATAGAAATTTGATTAATAAATAAATAAATAAATAAAATTTTCTTTCCTACCATAGCTAAGATTTGGACAGGCTGAATTCCATCCTGCATGATCTGTTTGTTCATAAGATTCTAAGTTTTAAAATAAGGAATGCCTGTTAAATTATGTGGAATTTATAAAAAGTAGATTAGGGTGCGTATGTCAGAATCTGTGTCAGTGTTAGTTGATTCAGAATATGCATTCTTAAGAATATAGGAACTTGGCTTGCAGAATTAGTCTGTATCTAGTACAGTGTTTTTCAACCTTGGCAGGTTTAAGATGTGAGGACTTCAACTCCCAGAATTTTCCAGCCAACCAAACTTAATACCTCAGTGGCAATTATTATAAGATGCATTTTTATTCTGAGAAGAGCAAGAGTCAAAGGTAGTGTCATTCTAATCCATAATCTGATTTATTCAGCATGTACCTGTCTCTTTGTTATTCTCTCATTTTCTACCAATTTCTTTCCCCTCTCCTTTGTTCTCATTAGTTGCTTACCAGGGTAGGGACAGTTCTAAAAGTTTGGAAAAAAAATACTTGATGTACATATGTAAGAAATAAAAGGTATAGTACTGCTTAAAAGAAGGAACTAGAATTAAAAATTGCTACACTTTAGCATATAGTAGTGAAGCTTTTTGGGGACATAAATAGCAGAAATAGTGGTAGAGGAAGCAATTCTCTGTAAGGAGCAGAATCAACCAGTGGATGAGAAAGACCATCAGAAGTATGATATTCAGATAGTGATACTTAATCACCGGAAGAACAACTATTTCAATCTCTAGCAGGAGAAGCAGGCAGGATCAAGACTCCCAATTGAAAATAAGGCAAGAAGGTGGAGTTTTGAAGAGTATAGTATAGAAGAAGCAACTAAGGTCATGCTGTACACAGAGATAATCTCAGCTCTCTAGATCTTTAACTCCTTATTCAGAAATTGATTTATTGATGAGGAGGTGCACGGTTTAGCAAGATTAGTCTCTTTACTGTGGATGAGTGAACTTGCATGCATACAGGACATAAACACTGAAATCAAAGTCCTCATACAATATTTAATCTATACTTTTCAGTTGAAATTCTAGGCTTTTCTCTCCTTCCTTTCTAATTCAATGAATATTTGGGCCATTCTCTTTCTGGACCTGCAATGCATCTGATTTTTAAGAGGACAATTTTCTCTAGTATAGGAACCAATGGCTCTTAGCTTGGCAGCTTTATTGCCAGAAGGATGGATGTTGAGGAACAGATGCCAAAGCCTAGAAAGACCACCAGCAGTTATCTTTTCCTGGTAATTCTCACTGTTAGTTGTTGTTGTTGTTGTTGGTGGGAACGGGACCTTCAAGGAATAGCTGCATCATAGATTTGGAAGATCTAGAAAAGAATCTGAAGAACTTTGGAGGTCCTGTATAGACAGGGTCCTTCCTGTCTATAGAAGACAATGACAGAACAAAAATAATTCAGCCAATTGACTAATTAACCCTCTTAATTAGAAATCAGTAAGAGTATTAGCTTATAAACTTCATGAGTTTATTATGTACATACCAACGCTCCAAACATGGAAAATAACTCTGAAGTCTTGATATAGTAAGATAAACAAGACTTAACAGGTATAAAAAGCATTTAGAAAGATTCTTGTGATTGAAATATTCAAGGGTACAACTTAATAAAAAAGGTAAAAGAAACTGCAAGCAATAAAAAGAGAAGCAGAGTCACAGTATATGTTAAAAATGACATTTACACAGAAATATAAAAGAAATAGACTAGTAGTATAGATCTCCCATCATGGAGAAGATGTGGATGATGCTTTTCAAAAAAGAAATTGAAGAGGTGTGAAGTACAAATAATAGTATTTAATTGCCCCATCTGTTTGAAGATACCTGCCAAGAATGGTCATTTGAGGAAACTTCTGAATTGTCTAATGACAACTTTCTCCTTAAGAACTTGGAGGAACCAACAAAAGAGATGTAGTGCCAATCAAAAGAGTGATTTTTTTTTTGTGTCAAGTTACTATATCTGTTACTTGATAAAAAACAAGAGAGGTCTTACTAGAATGCCAGCAGTAAGAACTATCAGACAAATGGGCATGAGAAGAAGGTATTTTTTGCATTAGCTCAATAATGGTTGGGGCAAATAATCATCAGAAGGTTATAGGAAAATCTTAAAACATTTATTTCGTTAGCCTGATTCTAAGATATACTTTTAGGCAGGGTGGATAAAAATCAATGATTTTTTTAAAAAAATCAAAAAAATCAGATTTTTTTGATTTAAATCGGATTTTTTTTATTTTTATCGAATTTATTTTAATAAAAAACTTTTGGGGTAAAAATCTATTGTAAGATAGTTTTCTATTTAAGATACATAAATAATTTAGTTTATTCAGCATGAAATGGAGCTTAGTTATGTAGCATGAGGCTGTATATTCTGCAACACTGGGACTATCGGTGAGACAACAGTAGGTCAAAGGAGTAGCAGAGATGACAGTTGCTCTTTAAAAATTATGATTTAAATCGAGTTGATTTAAATCAAGCCTTTTTACTAGTGATTTAAATCATGATTTAAATTGTGATTTAAATCAACTCGATTTAAATCAAATCCACCCTGCTTTTAGGGAACTTCTATGGCTTCTGGCTTTTACTATTTTCAACCAGGATTATATGTATACACATTATCTTTCAAATTTTTGATAATTAAGATTGTATTTTTATCTAATTTATAAGCTGTCTTGTAGAGTTCATATCTGCAAAGGTAGTCTAAAATTGTGATGTATAAATAGCATAAGTTATGTGAAATTATAAATCTTTGGATGAACTCTATATTATTTAAAGATGAAGCATAAAAAGTATAAACCCTGGAAATTACAGCTATATTGCTTTGATGTCTACTTCTAGTAGTTACTCTTACTATGTCTTCTTAAAGGTAAATCCCGTTGTGTTAGAACACACTGTCAAGTAGATGTGAACAATTTGTAGCTGAGTTTAATAAGAAAATCCTAGGCAAAAGAAGCCGGTTTAGTTTAATGGTGAGAAGAGAATATGTAGAATATTTTAAAAGCCTTGAATTATTGAGAGATAACTGTGTTTTTGAGGTTTAGATTAATTTATAGGAAGGAACATTAGTTCAAAATCAAGATAATCTTATTCATTATAATCTTATGAATTATTTAGCATTAGAAAAGATGGTAATAGTAAGGGAGGTCTTCAAAAATAACAACTCAAAAACTTTAATAAAGTTATTAGTTATATATGTAAAAAAGTGGGGGTGCGATGGCTGAGCAATTAAAGATGCTGAGCTTATCAGCTGGAAAGCTGAGAGCCAGCGTTCAAGATCCAAGTGCCACATGATGGGGTAAGCTCCTGTTACTTTTTCCCAGCTCCTGCTCATCTATTAGTTCAAAATCTTTGAGCCTAAATTACTTAATCTGTTTCTTAATAGTTTTTAACTTCTATATGTACTTGTATTTATTATGGCTGTTCACCACCCTGAGTCCTTCGGGAGTAGGGTGGTATACAAATATGAAAAATAAATAAATAAATAAATAAAAGCATGCAAATGTGAGTATATAAATAGGTACCACTTCAGTGGGAAGGTAAAAGCATTCCATGTGCCTTGGCATATAGTCATGTGGCCAATGTCTTCAGACCGTGCTGGCTCTCTTGGCTAGGAAACAGAGATGAGCAGTGCCCCCTAGAGTCAGACACAACTGGACAGGGAAAACCTTTACTTTTACATGAAAAAGTAACAACTCTTGTTTTCTGATGATATATAGAATATTGATATTTAGATGTTAATCCCTATCTTGTGGTGTCATAGAAAATATCCATCTCAATGGCCCAATGAAGGACAGCATATATTGTATATATCAATCTGTAGTTGTACATGTCAAAGTGAGGCTGATGAATGTAGCTGAATGTAGTGCACTGAATATGTATTTAGTAATGTTAAATGTTGAAAACCCTTTTTGCTTTGCATGCTTGTGATGTTCATGAAAAACACATCAGAAATCTGTACAGAAATTTCTGGCCATGCTAATACTGTGTATTATTATACACTGCCCTTATTGAAGCTGATGGGTGTTTTGTTGTGTGTTTAAGTTATATGTGGAAAATAGTCTTGGAACAGTAGCAAAATTTATAGTAAAGGTTGTTATTTACGTCTCATGTTCTTCTGAATGGTGCAGAAGGCTCACAAGCTATTTGTTAATGGGGACTGAATTGGACTAAGTTAGTGTTTCTCAGTCTTAGCTGCTTGAAGATGGGTGGACTTCAACTTCCAGAATTCTGGCTGGGGAGTTCTGGGAATTGAAGTCCACTCAAGAGGCCAAGGTTGAAAAACACTGGAAAACATAATGACAAGCTGATGACTTTAAGAGAGCCAGTTTGATGTAGTGATTAAGGTCTTGGCCAAAAAACCAGGAGACTGAATTCTAAGTCCTGCCTTAGACAGGAAGGCCAGCTGGGTGACTTTAGGCCAGTTAGTCTCTCTCAATCCAACCCACTCACAGGATTGTTGTTGTGGAGAAAATGAGAGAAGGAAAGTGTATTAAGTATGTTTGCCCCCTTGAGTTATTTATAAAAATAAAAAGGTGGGATGAAAATAAATCAGTGAGCTTTGTGGTCCAAGGGATTTGATCAGAGTTTCTCATTTCAGCCCACTAACTTATTATATAAGAATAAGACTGACTCTTTTAGTGTTTTTTTTTTTTAAACAGTAAATAAGTGTTTCTCTCATGTCATACAGCGTATACAGTTCAGGTAACAGAGAAAGCTGCCAGCGGTGGACTAGCAGATGCTAATTCGAAAGCCTTATTGCTTTGCAATGGACCTTTAGAACATTATGAATTCCTTACCAAAGTGGAGCAGCTGAGGAATGATGAACAGCAAACGAAAGTCATGCGGTGCCTGCAGAAGCTACACGAAAGTCTTAAAGGCTACAACCTCAGTCCAAAACACATATTCTCAAAGGTAAAATTCTTCCATTAAGCATTTTTACAGCCGTTTTTGTATCTGGTTCACATGATTTTTCTGAATTTGATTGCAGCGGCTCTGTAAAACAATGTTATTTAATTATCCCATTTCATGCCTAAGAGGCTGCGACTGAGAAGATAAGACAAAACAACAAGGCTGGGTATCAGAAATAGTAATGATTATTTGATGGCATTCAAGGTAAAATAAGATTGATATTTTTATTCTCCCCGATGCAATTAAATTTAGCAAATATTATTGATTGAGATATTTTCATGGGAAATACTCCGATTCCAAATTGATCTGCAACCTACGGTATATTCAGTTCCTAAATAAAACAGACTTGGAACAAGTTACTAATAATAATATACCAATGTTTGGTAGAATAAAACTCAGTTTCCAGTGTTCTAAACTTGAAATATACTTAAGTTGTGTGTTATTATTACCTGAGTAACACTGTTCATTGTTGTGTCTCCAAGAATGCACACATTCTGTAGAAGATTTTGGATTGTTCCATTTTTAATATGTGTAGTGTGGAAGGTAGTATCCTGAACCTACAAAGAGTTCTTTGCCAGAAAGTGGCAGAGTCATACTGTAATCTGAAGAAAATAGTTCAGATTTTTGTGCTATGCTGTACTTATTCTAGTTGCTTTTAACATTTCTTTTCCCGACTCTGGTGAAAACTCTGCAAGTTTTGTCCCCTAGTTCTAGACTAGACAGAGGAAAATATCAGAAACCTCTTCAAAACTAATATCCATTGAAAAAATTAAAAAATTAACCTACAGGATAATGTGAAAGAAATGAACATGAGGGAAGAAGTAAGAATATCAGACAAAATCGATGAGACGAATTGGGTAGAAAACAGCAGACAAAGATGGTGAAGAGGGGCCTATTAGATAAATGGTTTATTTAACATTGCCAAACAGTAATCAGCAGTGTTCCCTCATCTGCGAGCTTATTCATATTTGTTGCTGGATAAATTGCAGTTCTTGGATAGCTTGCAGTTTGAACCTCTAGGCCCTTATGTAAAAAAACCCAGACCTCTTCATTTCAGAATGTGATATAATGGAGAATATGTTGATGTTTTAATTTTTAGAAAAACATGATTTAAAAATATCACTGCAGATACAGTAGGAATTATTTTTGAAGACATAAACTTTAGAAAAAGTATATCATTAATTTATTTTTGTTGGGAAATATGCAGCAGGCAAGCGGGAGGGATCAAATGGGGAATTAGCCCTGGGTCATTGCATAGCTGCAGGAGACCTAGGAATGTGCCCCCCCCGCGCCCCTCCCCCCCAATTTCATGTGACGGAGGGCGAGCAATCTGGAAAAATTCTTCTATTATAGCTAAGATACAATACAGGTAGTCCTCAATTTAGGGTTGCAATCGAGCGCAAAATTTCTGTTGTTAAGTGATACATTTGTTAAGTGAGTTTTTCCCCCATTTTACGGCCTTTCTTACCTCAGTTGTTAAGTGAATCACTTTAGTTATAAGTTAATAACCTGGTTGTTAAGCGAATTTGGTTTCCCCATTGACTTTGCTGGTCAGAAGGTCGCAAAAGGTGATCCCATGACCTTGGGACACAGCAACGGTCATAAGTATGAATCAGTTGCCAAGCTTGAAGTTTGAGCTTGTGACCATGGGGCTGCTACAAAGGTCGTAACTCTGAAAAACGATCCTAAATTCTGTTTTTCAGTGCCGTTGTAACTTTGAATGGTCACTAACTGAACTGTTGTAAGTCAAGGACTACCTGTAGTTAACTTGAACATTTCACATCTGTATCTGCTTTCTTGCCCCTGACAATTTTGTAAGTATCATACTGCTAACATTTTTGAGTATTTTAAGAATACTTGATCTAGTGGAATATGCAAATTTGTATATATTATTTAAAAGGCAAAAGTGTTTATTTTGAGGGGAGATTTATTGTCTCCTTCCCTCTGCTCCCAAGTCAGTTTTGGAAAGCTTCGCTTCCTCAACGAACTTTTCTGTAGAAATCTCCCTTCCAATTTTATCCATGGGTAAGAGATTCAGCTCATACTTTTAACCAGCATCCTTCTGGCAACTAATTTTAATTTTTTTTTTTTAAATTTTAATTTGATTTATATGCCGCCCTTCTCCGGAGACTCAGGGCGGCTTACAATGCGTTAAGCAATAGCCTTCATTCTTTTGTATATTTTATACAAAGTCAGCTTATTGCCCCCACAAACTGGATCCTCATTTCACCTACCTTAGAAAGGATGGAAGGCTGAGTCAACCTTGAGCCTTGGAGAGATTCGAACCAGCAGAAATTGCAGGCAGCTGTGTTAATGACAGGGTGCACTAAACCACTGTACTATCAAGGCTCCTTTTAGCATTAATACATAAGCTGTTTCTGGTTGAAGTCTTTCTTTTACCGTAACTCTGGCATGCTGGACATGGTGGAAGAGATGATAATGGTCCAGAGCAAGGTTTCAACTTAAGCTAAATTTAATAAAACTTAAATTTCTTATTTACATAAGTAATATAGTCCTCAACTTAACAAGAGTTCATTTAGTGACTGTTCAAAGTTACAATGGCACTGAAAAAAGTGAGTTATGACAGTTTTCCACATGACCGTTGCAGCATCCCCATGGTCACGTGATCAAAATTCAGACACTTGGCAACTGACTCATATTTATGATGGTTGCAGTTTCCCAGGGTCATGTGATCCCCTTTTGGGACCTTCTGACTAGCAACGTCAATGGGGAAGCCAGATTCACTTAAGAACCATGTTACTAACTTAACAACTGCAGTGATTCACTTAACAACTGTGGCAAGAAAGGTCATAACGTGGGACAAAATTTACTTAACAACTGTCTTACTTAGCGACAGAAACATTGGGCTCAATTGTAGTAAGTTGAGGACTATCTGTATATTTGCACTAATTGCTCCCTTAAGTTTTAAATATTTTTCTATTTCTGTTCCATAAACATTATGGGTTGATAGCACTTTTTCAGGGGTTTCTTAGGATCATATCCAAGAGTCTGGAGAACTCCAAGCATCCTAAATATCTTGTGTTGTGCATCTTAATTTACAACTAGAATGAATCCTTTTTGAATATATTAGGCATCCCTGACTAAATTGTATATTTCAGTGAATTCTTAGGTGAACAAAAACTGGTATACCCTCTCCATGGTACAAACTTAAACTTGACATCTTTCTGGAAATTTGAATGGATACGTATTATTTGTATGGAATTATTTACCGGTTTAGATTAAGAAAACAATGAATGTAGCACATAAAAAGTTAGGATAGTTTTTCAATCAGAACTTTGTAACACCTCCTTTAGCAGAAATAAACAGCTATTCTCTGAGAATGTTTCTGTTCTAGCTTTTGGCATTTTTCCCATTCTTCTTTACAAACTCTGCTAATTCAGAAATATGCATGGATGTACATTTTGTCCTTGAGATTTCCCATAGATTTTCAGTGCTATTCAGATGGGGACTGTGAAGGCCACACTAAAACCTTTATCTTTTTTTCCCCTCAAAATAATTTCTTGTTGATTTGAAATATGTTTCAGATTTCTTCCTGAATGAAATATTCAGCCTCCGTTTAGCTCAGGATTCTTTGCTGATTGTGGACATTCTATTGCTTCTATTTTTATATTTAGTTGAAAAGTAGCATAGATGAATGTGTGTTCATACCCTCAACATTTCTCCCTCCCCCCACAAAAGCAGACGACTAGACTAAAATAATAATAACTTATTAAACTTAATTTCCTTTAATGTAAGGTATTTCATTATAAAATTCATGATCCTATTCTGCATATACAAACCATTCTTAAACGTAGAAATTGCTTTCACAAATTGTCACATGTGTAGCAGAAAAGAAAAAAGGAGAGAACTAAGATGGGGATGAGGAGGAAGAAGAAAAAGTAATTTTCCAGAGAAAGAGATGAAAAGAGAAAAGGAGAACAATGAAGAATGAATGAAGCAGTAACTGGACCAAAAGAAAGAAGAGAATTGCAAAATATTATAATATATTCACAGGACAATGAGACCTTTCCAAGCAGAGTCTACAACCATGTGCACTTCCTGCCCATTCCTTTTTTGCCAACAAATTCTTCTGTTTTTATCAGCAAGCAAAAGGGTCTGCTTGCGTACTGAGCAGGTGGAAGAGAAATAGGAGATTCTCTCTTATCTGAGATTCCCAAGAGTTTTTTTGTCCTGATGAAATGGAGATGAATCCCAGCTGTCCAGCATCATGTTTCTTTCTCTTATACTCTGAACTGAGGAAGCTTCTTGGATGAGAAATGAAGGAGGAAACCGGGAAAGTCCAGTTGCCTTTTGAGAAGCACCTGTGGGACATTGTTGTGAACAGAAAAAAAAATAAATTTATTGAATTTATATATGCAGGCCAATTTCCAGTGACTTGTGGCAGAGATGGGTATAGCTATGAAGTTCATTGCCTCATGGGCTCATTCCAAGTAACCATTGGCTCAACACATGGACAGAGCTGGTTATTATGTGGACCTTTTCTTTTTCTAGTTTTGGGGCAGTGGTGGGGTTATCTGTTATCTGTCTCTAGTTTACTTGTTGTGGTACAGTTATAGGTTATCTGAATATGGAGGGCAGTACATTTACCAAGTTGTGTGTCTTAAATGCTTCCAAATGAAATTAACTGCCACCTAAGACCTCTTCAGAACTGAAGATGAGTGATGGATCCCGAGAGTTTCCAGGGGACTCTTGGGGAAGTTTCCCAGTGATCGAGCAATTACCTGTTTAGCATTAGGAGGAGACTGGACTCTAAAAGAAATTGCCCCTCAAGCAATTTCTTTCTGTAAACTGATGCTGGGTTGCTCCTCGGTTTTCTGAGGAGTTCCAGGAGATAAGGCATTATAAGCAATTCCTACAGCATTGATGGAGGAAGAATAAAAATGAATGTGACTGAACATAAGTATGGACTGGTGAATAAAGAGAGGCAATAACCTTTGCTGAAATTTAGATAGGGACAGTGCACCGCCTGGTCCTTTCAGACTTCACAGTAGTCTATGATACCATCAGTGATGGTATCTTTCTGGAGCATCTGCAAGAATTGTAGCTACTGTTTTACAGTGGTTTTGCTTCTTCAGAATGTGGCTGTATTTGTTGGGAGGAGAAGATGAGAGATGGGCTTGGTAGGTGCTACCCCCCCCCTTCTTTAATATTTACATATTGGGAGGGATCATGTAGATTTGGGATGAGGTACATTCAGTTTGCTGATTATATTTAATTATACTTTACGAGGAAGGTTTTGTCTAAGGGCTATCAGAGTGGATGAGAGAAAATGGGCTAAAATTGAACCCTAGAACCTGAAGTTGCTTTTTGTCCATCGCCTTCTATCAGTTTCAGTGGTCTTTCTTGAAAGAGGTGGCACTATTCTTGAGAGAACAAATCTGTTACTTTGGGGAGTGGAGTTCTTGTTTTCTGTAAAAGCCAGTAGAGGTTTTACCCAGAAGACTTTTGCCCACTCTGGCTGTTGTGACCTGGAGCATTGCCACAGAGAATCATTCCCTCATCATGATGCATATACTGCAATGCATTCCTCATGGGGTTTGAAGACCACTCAGAAACTGCAACTGTGCAAGATATACAGACCTGTGTGTCGTAAGTATTGAATAGTGTGTTTGTGCAACTCTGGTATTGTGGGCCTTGCACTGGCTGCCAGTAGACTTCTGGATGCAGTTCAAAAGCTGGCTTTAACCTATAAAATGCTACATGGCATAATACCTTCAGGAGTGTCTCCTCCAATTGGATTCAACCCATCTAAGGTGTCTTTCTCAAGAGAAACTGTTAGTAGTGCTCTATTTCTGAGAAGTGGGCAGGAGGTTGTGGTGTGGAGATACTGTTCCTACATGAGAACCTGTTCCTCTGGAATGGTATTCCCATGCAAGTAAGATTGGTTCCGTTAATAATAATAAGCTTCCAGAAGCTACTTGAAACAGAGTTACTGTGGAGACTTTGGGTGAATTGTGAGGGCTATGTTATTTTAATTTTAATTTAACCTATTTTTAATTGCATTTTCTGTGGATATTTTCATTGTGATATTTTATAATTGTTGTGAACCTTCAAGAGCTGCAAAATATGATAGTATATATATATGTAATAAATAAACCACTGAAAAGATGGTCTGTTTACATGTAGTTTCTATATAATTTTCACTATAGAATTATTCAAAATGCTCAACCTACTGGGCTTGAAAAGATATTAAAAAGAATATTTAGAGTTTTTGTCCTTTCCAATTTCCCTTATTGTGTGCTTGAATCAACCAAAATAATATTTGAGCTTCTAAGCAGCAGAGCAGGCTTTGTTCTTTTAATGCAGGAGTTGAATTGAGTTTGGAAGCTATAGTGACTTTGCAATGAATATATCATGTTGTTTTCCTATTTTGCTTTTATCCAAGGAGAATAAAATATAATTATTTTCTTAATTTGCAGCTTTTCACAAGACGTAAACCTCCAAAAGGCCTTTATATCTATGGTGATGTTGGTAAGTTGAAAGATTTTAACTGAAAGATGGCCAATTTTGTTTTAGCATATTTGCACACTTTCCCAGATTTATAGCTAGCTAATAAGCTAACTTTCTTTTCCAATGACAGCAGTAAGATTAAATAGAACAAAGCACCCCGGGCTGAGCTACTAATGACCTGTATTTAGTCTTCTTTGACATTACAGAGCAAATCAAGGCTCAGAGCAATGTCAGGTAATGAAATGGATCAACACGGTGTGCTTTGTGATATGAGATCCCTGGACCCTGTGAGAGCCTTGATTGCATATGGCAGGGAGGGCACTTGTTTTGATGCCCTTGTTATGTGGAAGGGGGATGTTAGTTGAGTTGCATACTTGGTCTGACCGAAAGATGTATTTATGACTAATCTATTTTTTTAAAAAAGAAGAGAGGTATTCTCATTTATTTTTTAGTGAATAATGTTCAGTGTATTTCGGATAGAAACAATAATTGCATTTGTTGATTTTGATATAGATTCATATAATACAAATGATCCTGCCCATGTTAGTTGAAGTCTTGCTTTAAAGATAATGATTTTGTACTGTTCAGATCACGATTATGATTTCATTAGCTCAATGCTAATGAACAGTCATTACTGTAATCAGTACATAGTGTTTTAAATTAACAACCTGTTGGGTATGTGTGTTTTTATTTGAAGGCACAGGAAAGACAATGGTGATGGACATATTTTATTCTCATCTACAAGTAGAAAGAAAAAAGAGAGTCCATTTCCATGGCTTCATGCTTGATGTGCATAAAAGTAAGTTTAAATCTTTCTAGTAGAATACAGTATGTTACAGGTATCTTCTGTGTTATCTGTCATCCTGTTTCTTCTTAATTCTTTGTCTGGTGCCCGCTGGAAGACTGTCAGTTGAAAGCCGAAAAGAAAGGAATTAACGTAGACTGTATGGGGAAATTTTCAACCTGATTTTTCAGTTAGAATAGAGCTGTCTCGCAACACCCATAGGAATTAATTTAGGGAAAACATTGAAGGATTTGAGTTAGTAGGCTTCTTTTTCCTTGAGTGAGTAAGTACCTGTGGACAGTCAATAATTTAATTATTTTAATTCATTGGTACTTATTTGCATGATTAAAAATTCAGAGCATCTGCTGAAAAGTGGTGATAGGTGGTCTTGTGACAATTATATAGAGAGATTGAACAATATTGTGAAAATACCTAACGCTTTTACAATAGTCAGCAGCAAGCGAAGAATGAACTTGTGTTATAATATTGGTCTTTCAGTTGTCATAAGGCCCTGATTTAAAAGTTGAATAGCAAAAAGATGTCATGTCAAGTTGAAGGTGGAACAGGATAGGAAAAGGTAACTGAAAGAGAGTGACTGATTTCCATCAACTGCTATATGTACACACACACACACACACACACACACACACACACACACACACACGAACTCTCAGTGTTCTGACTATTGGCTGAATTCTTGTGATATCAAAGAATATTTACATCCTGCCTATATTGTGTCAGCATTTGTGAACCTAAACAAGGGGAAAGTTAGCATGTACCAGAACTTGAACTTGTCCTTCTCAGTGCCAGGAAAATAAATGTTTTCTATAATGAACTTTCCAGTAAACTTCCTCTTTGCAAATATACAGGTTTTTTTGTGAGATACATGGTATAGTAAATGAAATAGATGGTACAATGTATATGTTGTTCATTTATTTAGAAACTAGAGGTGAAGATTTAGTTAGCTATTTTAATATACAAAGATCTTCTATTTTCCATTATATTAACATTAAGTCTTTAAAGCTTCCTAGTCTTTTGTAAGCTTTCTCTGTTTCTCCTTTATTTCCTTGTTCTCATTTCTTTATATTTGCTCTAGTCCGTGAACTTACATTTGTTTCTCAATAGTATACATCAATCTTAACATAGACATTGTGCTTTTAATATATACCATAGTTATAGAGAGAAGGAAACCAAATTGAAAAATATACGTTGTTGGATAATATCTTGACCCCCTTTATGATATTCTGTATATATTGCAAAGAAGCAAAAAGCCATGGGATGCTGCATGAATCAAGGATGCTCACTGGAGGGGAGAATGCTTTGTAGTTGTCATTGTTTTTCTAAAAATTGAAAGAACGGAATTAGCACAGAATTACTGCGACAAAAGTTACTTCTATTAACATGTAAATATAATCTTTGTTTTGAGTCTATTTCCAACATGTTTACATCTTGCAAAATGTTCACTTCAGGAATACATTGCCTTAAACAGAGTCTACCAAAACGAAAAGCTGGATTAATGGCTAAATCATATGATCCAATTGCTCCTATAGCTGATGAAATAAGTGAGGAAGCCTGTCTCTTGTGTTTTGATGAATTTCAGGTAAGAATATATTATAAGAGATGCACATTCCCTCTTCCTGGAAAAAAAAAACCATGTCTGGTAGCAATATTTTGTATGGTTATTAACTTTCTATGCTGTAGGTGTTTTTTTTTTAATCTTTTCTTATTGAAGCATTTATTTATTTGTATGCATGGAGCAGCAAAATTTGTCACAGTTAGTATGATCTTGAATGCATAAAATTTGAGGCGCACGTAGACAGTATTATTATATCAGTGCTATTTGCTAAACCGGAATCTTTTTTTGAAAATATGCAGTCTGATTTATATGACATTACATTCAATTTTAAAATATTGTTTAATCATGCATTCTGCATACACAACACACACTATATTTCTGTATATATAAATAAGCGTGTCTGTTTTATTAGTATGTGGATGTTTTGTATTTCTTTACATATGGACATACACATAAACATGCATACATACACACACTATTCGTATCACCATTTGTCCAATTGAGTCTTTGCTTTAATTGTATATTTTGGAAATATTTGAGCTCCTACCACCCATGCTTTATCCACATTCTCATAGATTCTGGCCTATGTTGCTCCAGCTTAAAATTGTCAGTGTAAGCAAAGATTTAATATGTACATGTAACTTTCTCAACAGTCAAAACTTCATTCCGAGTAGACATTCATAGGTTATTCATTTATATTATTTTAACTTGTTTTCTTTTAAAAATAAAATGGGTTAATTAAATCCTACAAGATTTAGAAATTAAAATCATAAAGCAGCGCCCATTGTAACACATCTTCATGGCCTGGCCTCAGATATATGAATGTCCCAGTTCTGGGAAATGTACAGGAAAGATCAGCTGGTTGGAGAAATAATGTGGCAACTATCATGGGATTCAGTATGAACACTTTTTGATTTGTGGACAAAACTACAGGTTACTTTTTCATATGTCAAACCTTTATTTAAGATGAAAGAAATCGCTATGTAGAAAAGAATTGGGACCAGGAACTGTTTAACCCGTTCCCTGCCCTGCAACATGGAAAAATAAATGACAAACAATGGGGGAAGGGGAAAAAATAAGAGCATAAAGCTACTCTGGCTAAGTCCTAGGCGAAAGATGAGAAATAAAGTAAAATAAAAGAAATAAATTTGCCAGGATTATTAAAAAGAAAACATCCCAGTGGAGAGTAGTTTTTGTGGGGGAAAATATTTCCTGCAAAATTTCTAGCTGTGTGTGTGTGTGTGTGTGTGTGTGTGTGTGTGTGTGTGATTGTGCATGTATGTGCACACTTTTGAGTCAACTTTTGATTCCTGGTAAATGCTTGGATTAGTGCTAGTTCTAGAAGTGGTTTGCTATTGCCTCCTTCCTAAGGTTAAGAGTAAATGACTGGCCCAAGATCACCCATCTGACTTTTTTCCTAAAGTGGGACTAGAACTCACAATTTCCTAGTTTCTAGCCTGAGGCCTTACTCTCTATACCAAACTGATTCTCTCCTTTTAACATTGCCATTTAAAATGTGACATCCAGTATTCTAATTTTCTTACAGTCTCAATTATTATGGACAGTACTGATACTTACTAGTTTTTCTTGCATTGCAGTCATAGAACAGTATAGAATATTTTTGGAAGGAGAAGAAAATAGCTGTGCTTGAGCAATGAATGTATTTCTGAATTGAAGTGCATTCTTTTTTCCGTATTTAATGAAGTATTTCCATTTCATTACTTCCCTATTCCACGAAGTCTTTTTTTAATCTTGTGGATGCATCTTTATGCTTTAAAGCTGAAAGCAGGATTTTCTGCAATTTTTAATTGACAGAAGTCAGTTTGGTTTCAATTTGGAAATTTAAGAAGCCTAGATCAGAGCTCTCCTTTTTGTTGGTTGGACATAGTCATGGGGAATTCTTGCCACTTCTGCTCTATGATATATGTATTTCTACTTGGCATGTGAAAATTCACAGCTGGGTTAATAGTAATCAAGGTGGCACAAGGCAATCAAATGTGTTTGTTTCCTGACAGATGATAAATCTGTTGAGGAGTTCATCATTAAAGTCCTTATAATCCCATTGTGTCCCTAGCATATCCTGCTACTGAGCTACAGGCCACTTATAAATGACCAGTAGAGAATAGGGAATATGACAAGTAGCTTGAATTAGCCAAAAGCAAATTACACCAGTCTAGCCTAATTTCCTCTTTTGATACAAAACTGGCATAGTGGGCTATGGAGATGTAGTATGTGTAATATACCTTGACTTTAAGCCTTGGATACTGTTGAATGGGTATCTGAGGTAAGCTTTAGAGTGAATAGCCAGTGTGTATTAACGGGCTATCACAAAGATGAAATTTAATGAAACACTGTTTTCATGAATTACACAGATGAGTAGATATTTCAAAGGTAGTGATGGTAGTTCTGAATTTTGGGTAAACTATACTAATAACAGAAACAACATTAGATTTTCTATTATACAAAAATCTATTATAAGAAATATATGAGCAAAATATTTCATCTTGTACTTAACAAATGCAAAGATAAAAAATAATTCATGCCACAATGGCTATCAAGATTCATTGTCTGATTTTAAAAAAGCTTTTCCTCTTGCACATTTTTGGAGGTGAAAATTTGAAATCTAGAATTTCCCTTAAATTTCCCTTTGATATCCACCATATTCTTATCACTTTTATTTATAGTTGAATTTATTCTAGAAGAAGCTCCTTGTTTAGTCCTCTTTTCCCATGTCCAAGACAATTATTCCTATAAAATTCTTCGCAAGTTTAGCTTTGCTTTCTTTTACTATTTTCTTGCAACAATGACACTACACATTGTACAATGTCTCTCATCATCTTAGCAATAACTCTTCTATGTATTTTTCTCATCCACAGCATTTTCATTCCTCATTCTTACACCTTGCATTTTTTTCATACTTTCTATGAATATAAATCCAGAACTTCTATAGACTCTGTAACATGATTCTTTTAACTTTATTTTCTTTTATTCACTTTCCATTCATTTCGTTGCTAAATTAATCTGTCTCCTAATACTTTTTTCCATAAAAAAAAGTATTTTTTTTAATGGAACAAAAATTTTTCGGGTAGTGATCAGCTGGCGATCCCTAGGCAGCGGGCCTTCTCTGTGGGCGCACCTACCCTCTGGAATCGGCTCCCCCTGGAGCTCCGGATGGCCCCCGACCTTCACTCTTTCCGCCGCGAACTAAAAATGTGGCTATTTCGCCTGGCCAGCCTGGACTGATGGGGGTTTTAAAATGGATTTAAATTGATTTTAGGGATTTTATGTGTAACTTTTCACCTGGAGTTTTTGTTTTATTTTTCTGTTTTATTGTTGTGAGCCGCCCTGAGTCCTCTCAGAGAAAGGGCGGCATATAAGTCTAAACAAATAAAATAAATAAAATAAAATAAAATAAATTAAATTAAATTAAATTAAATTAAATTAAATTAAATTAAATTAAATTAAATTAAATTAAATTAATAAAACATTCAAACATTCTCTTCTAGTTCCTCAGCTCAACTCAGTTTAACACAGCTCAATTCAGGTCTCCTTCCCTTCCATTCCCTCCACTATATGTCTCACATTCAGAACCTGAATGTGGAGTTCACCAAAGAATATCCATTCTTATTACTATGTACATCTCTGAATGGCCCATTCATTTTACTTTCTCATCTAATTTTCATCCATTATTCACATCACCCAACAAAATAAATTTTCCACTGAATCGCATTCATGCCGACTCTTGCACATTTTTTCCTAGAATTTATCCCTATTTTTCCCTTGTCACTTTTTATTGGAGTGTTAACAACTTCCAGCTAACAACCTATGGTTTTCTACTTTTATATGCATTCACCTTAACTTACATCACATTAATTCATTTTTCACATATATACATTTAGCCCTTTTATTCATAATTAAATACATCCTGAACTTAGTTGAATGTATTCCTAAACTTCACTTTAAAAGAACCACCATTACTCAAACCTATTATTTTCCTCACAGTTTCACAGACACACAATGTATCTATTTCCTCTTTTATATATATATATATAGTACAATAGATCCCTGTCCTAAATGAACTGAAGCTTCATTAAACTCTGCATTATTTAAAAGTAGCATAAGATATAACTCTGCTGTTCTGTCTTCCCATTCATGCCACATTGGGTGCCTCAAAGTTGAATAGCTGTGGAGTATTGTCTCACTTTTCAGATTCTGCAGTCCAGCAAACTAGCATTTCTGTGATACTTTTCTTTCACTGGTTTAAGACCAAAACATGATGCCTCACTTTCCGTAGTTCAAGTATTTTGTTGCTGGATATTGGTAAGATATTTGAAAATGCATTAAAAAGCATTTACAGTATTTATTTACTGGTTTGTTTTTATGAAACTGTTGATAACTTTGTTAAGTATAGCTTCCTTTTATGATATTAGGTTGTTCAAACATAGAAAAAATGAGATTTGTGCATTTGGACCTGCTGCGGATTTCTTCCTAAAATTTGTCTTTGCCAAATTTGGAGCCTTGAATTTGCTTGGGCTGAAGGCAGTTGTCTAGAGTAAAGCAGTAATGCCATAGTTAGTCCAAAAATGCCCCTTTCTAAGGTGCTTTCTTTCAAAAGGCAACTGGACAAGAAAGTCCAGTTTTCATTTGAAAGAAAGCACTTTTGGGACAACCGTGACCTGGATGACTGAGAATCTCCATAGACATTTGTCCCTCTCTAAATTCAAGAAAGAGAAGCAGAGCTGCAGTTTTATAGCAGAAACTGAGTGACTGGCTGGTGCTTTTGGTATCATTCTTTCTCCCTTCCCCCCCCCCTCTCTCTCTTCCCAATCCCCAAACAGTATTGCATTAAAATAGGCTTATCTTTAAAGAAACAAAAAGAAGAACAAATTCTTGATTTAAAATCCCCATGGGCACTTTTCAAGATAAAATGGTACACAGCTTTCCGGCAACATTGTGGGTGCTAATAGTCTGTGCCAACCTTCAGTTCACACTATGCACGTCTGTCATTTCAGATGTGAAACTCTGAGAAAATCAAGCTCATCCAGCTGTTTATGGACCAACTGTGAGTCCTCCTTTTGGTTACACTGCCTTAGTCTGATGTCACGTTCTATATCTCTACTTTAAAAAAACCAGGCATTTCAGACATGATGTAGCTTTATTTTCATATAAATAGCAGGAAAAGAGTGGCTGGGCTTGGGATCCACGATACTTGTAATGAGTAAAATAATATTGTTATATACTGTGTAGGCAATGCTTGTAAGAAAGTGAAGAGAACAATTTTAAATACATAGTAGGAGCAAGTTTCATTAAATGCAGGAGGACCTCTGAGTAAAACATGTCTAAGATTGCACTGTTACACTCCTTTTTTTTGTGATAACACTAATTACTTAAACATACTTATATTTACTATTCATCCCAAGAAATTGTCCCAATCAGAGGATAACTGGGTTTCAGGTACTTAGACACATACATTATTTAGATTTTTTAAAAAAACTTAAGTGAGAAGAAAGCAGCTCTAGGTCATACAAATCTTTTCTCTTAAATGCAAATGAAATTTCACCATTCTCTTCATTAGCAGACATCTCTTATTGGTAATTTGTATTCTTTTCTTTTGTTCACATCCATAATGAATGCCGAGCACAGGCAGAACCTGAGCTTTGAGATGCTTTCACTTTTGTCTTCCTCTCCAAAGCTACAGAGATCAAAAGGACATAAATTGGCATTCAATATACCAAATGACTCTTGCTTTTTTTTTTAATTATGTAACTTAAAAAATAATCAATTTTGGTAGACAAGTAGATTTAAATTCTGCAAAGCAAAACACCAACTACCCTGTTTCCCCGAAAATAAGGGTCTTATATTAATTTTTGCTCCAAAAGGCGCATTAGGGCTTATTTTCTGATTAGGTCTTATTTTTGGGAAAATGCGGTACTAAATCCATCCATCTGGCTGACAATCTTAACTGGGGCTTATTTTGGGGGTAGGGCTTATATTACGAGCATCCTGAAAAATCATGGTAGGGTTTATTTTCCGGTTGGATCTTATTTTTGGAGAAACAGGGCATGTCCTCATTGTGTTTTCTCTGGTCATAAATCTTTCTCTATTTAATGTTCCAAGCTGCTATGCTTTATCAGAAGTGTTCCTTTGGGAAATTATAATATGTCCTGCTTCGTATAGTTTTCTATTTCTCAAGCGAAAAACTCTTTTTTTTTTCCTTCCTCCTGTCTTATTTTACCCGTTTCAGAGGTCTCATCAAAATGGATACCTGCTTTTAGCTACCTAATGCCTTTCTGATTTTGTTTTTGTTTCTTATTGACAGGCTCAAAGATGCCAAGTTTTGATTTGTTAGATTGTACTTTACTTCAGTGCCTTGTACTGTAGTTACCAGCCTGCTCGTTCTAAGAAAATAGTCAACTACCTAAAAGATGTATAACTTGATTTAGGTAGAGCAGTTTCCAAAGGCAGAAGCATGGAACAACGCTATGTGTGGCAGTCTCCTAAGTATAGGGTGGGAATAGTTGTGAGGTTTGGAGTGGGAATGTTTTTTCTCAGCTAGTTTTATCATGTTCCTTTTTTTATATTGGTAGTATTCATCTGTTGTGAATTTACATATTTAAGTGAAGTTCTGCATATAATAAAATTAGTGTCTTTAGCACAGCTGTAATAATTTGAGGAACAATAAGTGGGGAAGTGAAAATCCTCAGACAAAAGTTTCTTTTTGTCATGAATTGTTGCTCCCCCTTCTTCATTTAAGAGAGAGAGTGTGTGTCTCTGTGTGAGAGAGAATGATTTGTGTCTGTGAAGGTTAGAAGAGGCTGACTGTGCTGGAACTGACTGCAGTGCCTTTTTGATTATTCATGGACAGTAATAGAAGGCACTTAAAAAGAACAATGAAATTGCTTATTTTTTTGTGATGGGCCATCTGTTGAATTGTTTTGTGTAACAATCGCACAATAGTATCTATGTCATATCATTCTATTTTCAACAGCAGCTGATGATGTATACTTGGCCACTTGTCCTATTTTCTAAAAGTCCCATGACCATTTAAAGTCACCTCTCTGAACCTTTTCTGGAAAGGTAATAGAAATGTAGAGCAGCTGGTGTCTATTTTCTTTCCTGATCTTCTGGCAGGTCTATGTATTTGTATGTGTTTCAAACTAGGGCTTTTTTAAATCTTAAATCTCTTCTTTCCCAAATGGAGTTTTAGAATGGAAGTTAACCAGAATTGTTTAGCAATCTGGAATAAAGACTTGTCTTGAGAAAAGATTGCTACATACTCCCTGCTTATTATTTTCCGTCCCACCCACATTTTTTCTTCAAGTGGCAACATAGAATCTTTTGCCTTTGAACCAACAAACCTCTCTTCTGACTAAAAACAAGACAGGAAAAAAAAAAAGCCCTCAAAGCAAATTGGATGCAGCTTTGTCATTTCTACAAGTCAAGATCTGCTTTTGACAATAATAGTATTGTCTTCTTCAGGTCACAGATATCGCTGATGCTATGATTCTCAAACAGCTTTTTGAAAACCTGTTCCAAAATGGTGTCATCGTTGTAGCCACATCAAACAGGCCACCAGAAGGTAATAATGAATAATATGCTGATCCTGGCTTTTTCAATGAAAGTACGGTTAAGATATCTTAAATTGACTGTATGTGTGATCTGTTTCTGGTTAACACATGTCTCTTTTACCATGTTTGTACTTTTAAGTGTTATTTTAAGATGTTAGATGTTAACTCTATGTCATACATGATGTACTTTCGTGGTTTCTATTAAAAGTCATAAAAATAAATGATATTAATGTGCATTGAGCGGGATCTAAAGTAGTCGGTTATAGATAGAAGAACTGCACTCTCAGAAAGACATTTTCTGATAGCACAGTTCTCCTTTTCTGAATGAAAGTCCCTTCAGTTCCTGGAGTAATCAAGGGTAGATTCAACTACTCTTTCCTTAAAGCATTCAAGAACCAATTGTCCTTTGAAACAAAAAGGTAAGAAATAGAAGTAGCAGGGCAGAGTAATTAGAGCAGGGGTCTGCAACCTTAAACACTCAAAGAGCCTTTTGGACCCGTTTCCCACAAGAAAAAACCACCAGGAGCCACAAAACCTGGGTAGGCGTGGCCAACTCCACATCACTCACTCCCACCCAGTCACATGACCCCCTAGCCATGCCTACCCAGCCAATCATTAGGGCAGAGAACCGGTTGATAAAAAACACCGGGAACCACAAAAACCTCTCTCTCTCTCTCCCTCCCTCTCTCTCTCTCTCTCTCCCCCCCTTATCTTTCTATGTCTCTCTTTCTCCCCCCCTCTATCTCTCTCTCCCTCTCTGTATCTTCCTGTCTCTCTCCCCCCTCTGTATCTCTCTCTCTCTCTCTCTCTCTGTATTTATGTCTCTCTCTCCATCTCCCCCCCCTCCCGGCCAGGGGTGAAATGCTCCCGGTTCGGACCGGCTCGGGCGAGTAGGTAGCGATGGCGGCGGGCAGTTCGGAGAACCGGTAGCAAAAATCCCTTCCCTCCCAGCCTCCAGCTTGCTTACCTTCGCACGCCTGCCTTGCTTCGCTTGCTATAATCCCTGCAATCGATTGCATCAGCAAGCAACTGAATCTCCCTGCTTGCAATCAAGCTCGTGGGTGAGCAGCTCTTTCTGCCTGCCTGCCTGCCTGCTTGCCTGTAAGTTTTTTCCCCTTTGGGAGCTTTAAAAAAAATAGGGTTTTTTTTTAGTTGTTCGTTTTTTTAGACCTAGCCATTTAAAGTTTAGGAAGTTTTAAATTTAGCTGCTTTTATATAAAAATAAAATAAAATAATATTTGTGCAGCTTTCTGAGATTTTGTGTGTTTCTGTAGTGTTTCACTCTAACTGCACAAACAGACAAAATCTCACAAAGCTGTATGTGGAATTTTGTGTGTGTAAAGTGTGAAAGTTGGTTTTTTGGGCTTTTTGTGGCTGTGTGAGGTTCCTGCTTGTTGCAGGGGCCATTTTGGGTCTAGCACAGCTGCTTTTACATTGTGGGTGAGCCAGTTGTGTTGTGTTGTGTTGTGTGTGTGTAAAGTGTGAAAGTTGTTTTTTTGGGCTTTTTGTGGCTGTGGAGGTTCCTGCTTGTTGCAGGGGCCATTTTGGGTCTAGCACAGCTGCTTTTACATTGTGGGTGAGCCAGTTGTGTTGTGTTGTGTTTTGTAGGTTAAAAAAAGGGCAACGAAGTGACGTCGACTTGGCCACGCCCACCTGACCAAGCCATGCCCACCCAGTCACGTGACCACCAAGCCCCACCCACTAATTAAGCCACGCCCACAGAACCGGTAGCAAAAAATTTTAGATTTCACCCCTGCCCCCTGCCCTCTCCCCCCGTATCTCTCGGATTTCCAAGGCCAAGCGAGCAGTGCCGGGGAGGGGAGGGCAAGGAGCGGGGCCAGCCAGTGATGGGACAGAGCAGCAGCAGAGGGCCCAAAGAGCTGCATGTGGCTCAGGAGCTGCAGGTTGCCGACACTCGAGTTAGAGGAAGAACAGAGTTAATGGTATGTAGCTTTTCCCTGTAGACTAGTCATAAGCACTCCTCATTCAGCACCATTATAACTTCAAACTGTAGTTGAATGAAGGGGAAGGAAAGTGTGTATTGTCCTTAACTCCTTAAAAGACATATAATTAATATAAAATAGGAAAAAGTAAATTATGCTAGAAAAATAGTACAGGGAATGCAAAGTATTATAGAATATTTAATCTGAAGTCAATAATATTTATTCCACAGCAAGTACACAGAAAGACACAAAATGTGTGGGTATTTATATATTTAGATATGTTTTGTAAGTTGCCTCCGATCACAGCTATAAGCTGCTTGGGCCATTCACAATAATAGCCAGTGAGAATGCAAGAGGAAATAATAACAGAATCCATTCAACACTTAACTTAAAAGACTTAACTTAAACACTTAAACACTTACATTTTGTATTTTTCTCATTCAGGATTATGCTTTCAACAGTGTAGTCCGCTTCAGTTCATGAAAGATTATACCATAATATATAGTTTAGTGTTTAAGATGAAGTAAAATTATCACCTTAAAGTAGTACCCTGTTTGCTGATGGCAAACCCATCATGGGAATGGGAATGGAATCCATGTCCTTTCAAATTTTATTAAAATACTATTTCCAGCATACAGATAATTGAACTACTCATTCAACTACAGTTTGAAGTTATAACAGTGCTGAATGAGGAGTGGTTATGACCAGTCCTCAAAGTTCCAGCCATCCCAGAACCCCTGCAGTCACGTGATTGCAAGTTGGATGCTTGGCAATCAGCTGTCACGATGGTTGCAGCATCATGTAGTCACATGACCACATCTGTGACCACCCTGCCCACTTCACACAAGCAAAGTCAATGATCCCCACAATCCTGGGGATCTCATACCTTGTAGGATGCACTGGCCTGCACTGTCATGCTAGTGTGGCTGGCCTGTTATGCTTGTGCAGTGCTGTAGCACCCACCTGTGCCCACTTCTTCACCTGGAAGTAGCCATCTCTGTTCATGCTGCACTGACCATTTGCATACCATCCTATGCCCGGCAACTGTGATATCCTCCCCCCCCAAAACCTGGCCATGCCTATACTATGGCCTGCACTTAACTGCCTGCTAATCTGCTCGAAAGCCACTCTGGAATTGTGACTTCTGCTAGCTTTCCCATTGATTTTTCTCATTGGAAGCCAGCAAGAAGTTGCTAGGAGATCCTCTGTTAATAACCATGATCCTTGCTTAACAATGACAATGAAGAGTGCTAGGATTGCTTTCGCTAAGTGATGGGGATATGTGATGTCACACTTTACAATTGCATTGCTTAGTGGTGGAAATTCTGGTTCCAGTTACCATTGTTAAGTGAGGACCACCTGTATCTCAGTTTTGACCTTGCTGATTTGGGTTGTTGAAATCTGAAGGGTTTGCCACCGAACAAGAACTAAGCCAACTACTAGTGCTAAATATATTTGTAAGTCAACAGCTGCTATGCATTGCTGGTTGGAATGAAAACCCTAGTGGCCAAACAGATTTTATAAAGTATGTTATTATGCTTGATTTTTTTTTAGCCTATATAGTTTTACTATCTTAATTAGATCTATTTCAAAATCTTAGAAATATTTGTATTTACATTTTATGTTTCAAATTTGTATGCCATTCTTAAAAACATAGTTTAGTAATTGAGTCCAGTCATTAAAAATAAAATGATGTGTTATCTTCATCAAACTGAATTATAACATGTGTGTAATTATACACATTGAATTGTGCTTTGAACATAAACAAGAATCATAATAGTTGCTGAAGAATTGGCATACAGTAATGTGACCCTAGTGTTTCATTTCTGCCAAGTGACAGTGCTCTTTTCTGTCTGTATGCTACTAAACTCGTGTGTGAAACTGTGCATCACATGGCAAAACTTATTCAACCCAGATACCTCAAAGGGGCTTGCGTCCAAAATCTGTGGACCCGTGACTCCTGTGGAATTGAAATTTGATAAATTAAAAAAACATTTTATGACATAAAACTACCATTAAGAATTTTATGACATAATGCAAAAGTCATAAAACATAATCAACTCCTGATGCTTGACTGGTCTACAGTTCAACACGGTCTACTTTCAAGGCAGACTCATCTTTGAAATATCTCCTTAAATTTTGAAGAATTTTTCCAGTACATTAGCAGCTCTGTCATTGTGGAAGGCATTGAGGAATCTGGTGTCTCTGAAATGATGACCCAATGGGTCACGGGTTGTCTAATAACAGCTAAACCTGTTACGCTCTAATGAATGCAGCCGTAGGGTACACATTCATAAGTTTTGCTCTTGATTTCTGAGGGCATAAATGCAAAACCAGTGGAAAGGTTCAGATTTTATTTATTTATATCTCGTTTTTATTATTTTTACAATTGATTAGCCAAATGATGATAGTGAAGAGTGTCAAAGAATACTCTTGAAAACCTGAAGATGTAAAACATAGAAATGGAGTCAGGAAACACCTGAAAATTGCAAACGTGGATGAGAAGCAAAGGCTGACCATCAGTGACTTCAAGAGTTTTCTTCCCTGCCATTATTATTCCTTCCTAGCACTCATTATTCCTTCTGTCTTCCCTGAAGTCATGTTTATAAAGGCTTGATATTAGAAAAGCATCAGAATTGCATACTTAAATGTCAAAAACACAAAAGAGACATAAAGATCCTCCAAATTCCCTAATTATTTTTCTTGGGATCACATAAGGTTACTAATAAATTAAAATTATGTTCAGTATCAGTACTGAACTATTGAAACTCCTGTCTTTTCCAACTATTTGTACACACACAAAGAAGAATTTAAATGTAGTATTCAACCCTAAACAATCCTCTCTGTGAACTATATTTAGAGCTGGATTATAAAATACCCTTTTATATGTTATGTTGCCCTGTAAACGAATAGATTATAAGCAAAAAGATGAGGATCTAATCTGCCTACAGCTGTTCCTGGTATCTAAAGCTTTTATATAGAGACAGCCTGTCCCAAATAATGTATCAAATCTGGTAGGTGATGATATCTGGATGCTTAATTGATTCAAATTTAGGATATATTCCAAA